AAAAAAAAATTTTAAAGAAGGGCAAAGGCCAAATAGCTCAACAGATTAAAGCATCTGCAAGCAGGTGCAGGGGTGGGGGTGGGGTTGGATTCCTGGGCCTGCTGTGCAAGCCCCGCCCCTGGGGCACAGCAAATGAGACTGGACGTGGTGGCACACACCTGTAATCCCAGCATTTGGGAGACTGTAGACAGGCAGATCACTACAAGTCTGATCTAGTAATGAGACGCTGAACACCCTATAGAGCCTTCCCTAAAAATGCCAATAAATAAATAAATAAAAATAAAAGAAGGGTAAGCTGGGGAGATTGCTCAGCAGCATAAGTGCTTGACTGGCAAGCACAAGATCCTGAGTTTGATCCCCAGTACTGAAAAAGAAAAAAATAATAACAAGTACATAAAGAAGGGTAAACTGAAGACTTTTGCAGGTAAAGATGCAACTCCAGACCATACTCATAAGTGAAACAAGCACTTGTAAACATAATACTGTCGGGGCTGGTGAGATGGCTCAGTGGTCTAAAGCACCTACTTGGAACAAGCTTGGCAAAACACAGGGACCACGGTTCAATCCCCCAGCACCACATGCCAGCCAGCCTCGCCCCCTGGTGGGCTGAGCTGGCCACACACGCACACAGACACACACATAAGTAAATAAATAAAAATTTAAAAAAAAAAAAAAACATAATACTGTCTCTCTAGTGTGAGATGCTCAAAGAGAGTAAGATCCAAAATGTACAAAAGATATTATGAAATAGGAAGAAATTGTCCAAAAGGAAAGAGAAACTGGGATGGGGAAAAGGAAAAAAGACAGGGAAAAATTCAAACAAAGAATTATATATATTTTCAAGATAGTTAAACTACTAGTTTTTCTTAGTTCATTGAGAAGAAAAGTTTGTGCTAATAGTCTGGGCAATTAAATGCCCATATCTTGTTTTGCTTTGTCTCATTGAGACAGGGCCTCGCTATGCAGCTCAGGCTGGCCTTGGGCTCCCTCTGCAGCCAGGCTGGTCTGGAACTTGCAGTGATCCTCCTGCCTCAGCCTCCTGAGTTCTGGGATTACAGGCATGCACCAACACACCCATCTAAATGCCCATACCCTGTACTCTGAATAATTTAAAGGTAACAATATGCAGTGTATCAACCATTGTTACTCTCCTATTATGTGGTTTTGATTTTTTTTTTTTTTTATATATATATATATATATATATATATATATATATATATATAGTGATAATCTCAGCTTTGCAGGTGACTGAGGCTGCAAAAAGATAGTAGCAGTGACAGGCCCTGCCACTGTGGTGGGAGCTCAAAGACAGTTTCTTTTCCCCAGTGAAGCCGGGCCAGCTGGTATCCGGGGAGGCGACTCCAGCAACAGGGCAGGAGGGGCTGCAGTGCACGGACTTCTTCCTGGGCCTGAGGAGGGGCAACCACACTCTGGGCGCAGGTCAAAAGTGGACCTGAGCCGAGGCCACCAGCGGGAAGGCCAGGAGGGACTGGCGGCTGGGTTCCAAGGCTGACCCTGTCCAGTCTGCTACAGAGGGACCTGCCTTGTGCTCACTGCCCTGCAGAAGATATTCAGGCTCTAGAGAAGACTCCAGCTCCCCACTGCTGGGGGGCTCTTGGCCAAGGGGATGTGGAGGGGTAGCCTGGGCTGAGGAGCTGAGTAAGGGGCCACTGAGCTGGGGGGAAGAACCCAGCAGGCTGGGGCCGGTGGGTGAGGCAGATGGCACATGGCTGGAGCACATCTGAGCAAGAGGTAGAGTCACAACAGCAGGACTGAGGGACAGCAAAGACAAAGGGGATGGGAGGAGGCCACAGGGATCCCCAGGCTGTGGATCTGGGTGCAACCGCTGAGCTGGCAGACAGGAGACGGGACTCTGGAAGAGGCCCGGCTGCTCCTGGCAGCTGTGCTGTCCTTGGGGAGCAAGCTGTCCCGGAAGCCACCCGCCCTGGCCCCAGCAGTCAGGGGGCTCAGGAGCCGGGTGGAGGCTACAGCCCCTGGGGCACAGGTGCTCATGCAGTTGCAGGGTCTGGCTCCACCGAGTCAGTTCAGCCTGTAGGCCCCGGATCTCCTTGCGCAGGGCCTCGTTGTGTTTCTCCAGGGACTCTTGCTGCTGGGAAAGAAAAAAGGGGCAGGGAAGCATGTCAGACAGCGTCAGGGCCCTATGTGACCACTGTCCTCACCCAGGGTCTTCACTGCAACAGACACTACCACTTCTAAATGTTCAGGACAGAACCCCTGGCTACTCTAGCCAGTGGCTGCCACCCACCAGTCCCTACCCAACACCTGGACAGGGTCGGAGTTGCCCTGTTCTCTCTGTCTGCTTCTAGTCCCCTGAGCCAGGGTTACTGCTCCCACGGGACCTCCTCCTGCATCTTAAATTGTGTGTCCTCAAACCACCCCGTTCTCCTGGCTCAGAAAAGCCATTCAGCAAATGCGTCACTATTGGTGGGTGAACTGTTTTGGTCTTGTTCTGTCAACTGAACTGAAGCCTTATACATACTGGGCAAGTACTCTGCCACCGGGCCCCAGCCTAGCTTTGCTTTGTTTCTTTTTAATTGTTTTGTTTTTTCACCCCTTCTTTTTTTTTTTTTCCCCCAGTACCAGGGATTGAACTCAGGACCTCGCACTTGCCAGGCAAGCGCTTAATCTACTGAGCTATCTCCCTGGCCGAATTGTTTTGAGACAGGGTCTCATTCTGAATTTAGACTGGCCTTGAATTCACTATACAGTTCAGGCTCTCCTCAAAGTTGTGGTGATCCTCCTGCCTCAGCTTCCTCAAGTGCTGGATTACAGGCATACGCCACTACACCTGGCTTACTTTTTAATTTTATTGTGAGATAAGTTCTCACTAAGTTTCCCAGGCTGTGTTAGAATTTGAGACTCTCCTGCCTCCGCTTCCTTGTACAGCTGGGATTACAAGTGTGTACCACCACTCCAACTATGCTCGGACTCTGCCTTCTGGATAGGAAATTTTTTTGCAGTGCTAGGGATTAAACCTAGGGTTCTACACATGCTAGTAAGCTCTGTACATCCTCAGCCCTGCCACTCCTCTCCTTCCCTTCTCTCTCTCTCTCTCTCCTTTCTTTTTTCCCCCTCCCTTTTCTTTTTTCCATTTTGTTTAATTCCAAGTAGGCACTAAACTCATGATCCTCTCCACTCAGCCTCCTGAGGGCTGGGATTACAGCCTTGTCCCACACACGGGGTTTCAGGATGAGCCTTTCTAATGCACCACTGTGTCTTCCTTCTACATTTTCCAAGCCTTCTACTCATCCCCAGGAACTGAGTCAGTAACTCATGAAATTCACTCATTTTCAGCACATGTGCAGATGCTGCTGCTGGGGGGGGGGGGCGTTCCTCTAGCTCCGGCTCTGCCCACTCTCTCCACCTCTTCCCTGCTCTAGTCACCACCCCGCCAAGGACTTGTCACTGTCTGATATCCTAAATACTCGATGGGTCATTTATTCATCCGGCTTCTGTGTAAGTATGAGCTGGGGGAAGGTGAGACGTTGCCTGCTGTATTCACAGTTGTTTTGCAGTGCTGAGACCTGAGCCTGTCACATGAGAGACCCTCGAGGGACATTTCCAGAAGCAATGAATAAATAAAAGCTTAGTTTCCCAGCTACCATCTCCTTCGCACCCCATCTGCAGAGTACTGCCCCAACTATACCTGCGCCAGCACAATGGTATGTGCTCACAGTGCATTTTATTTTCTTTCTTTCTTTTTCAAGACAGGGTCTCACTCTGCAGTCCAGGCTAGCCTTGAACTCAGTATATCTAGGCTGGCCTCATTCATGCTGATTCTCCTGACTCAGGCAGTCTTCTGAGTGCTGGGGTTACAGGTGTGTGCCTCACCATGTCCCGTCTCTCTCTGTCTCTCTCTGTCTCTGTCTCACACAATCTTGCTATGCAGTTCAGACTAGCCTTGAACTCACTATGTAGCCTGGGCTGGCCTCAAACTCCTAGCCATCTTCCTGCCTCACCTCAGCCTCCTGGGATTATAGGCATGAGCTACCATACCCAGATCTCAGTGCATTTTATTACCTTCATCCACTTGGAAAACTTCTATTCATTGTCAAGACCTGCTCAAATTTCATTTCCTCTATACATACCTGATATCACACTACCTATATACTAGGGACTGCATCATGTCCTTCCAAAATGCATACGTTGATGTGGTAACCTGAGTATGTCTGTATTTGGACATTTATTTATTTATTTATTTATTTATTTATTTATTTATTTTGTGGAACTGGGGATTGAATTCAGGCCCTTGCACTTGCCAGGGAAGTGCTTATTCTACTGAGCCATCTCCCCAGCCCCTGGACACATTTTTTTTTTTTT